ATTGCTTTCTTATACTTCTTATGAGCCACTTTATATATTTCTCAATTATCAAAACTTTTACAGCTAAATCAATTCTTATAACAAATTTTCTTATATTTTATCTTTTATTGCATATTTTGATTCCACCACTAACTATTTTTACTATTAGTATTTTTTTCCTTTCATACTTCAAGTACATATTTTACAACATTCTTAATATCACTAGCTAATTTTTCTCATATAATATTAGTTTTCTCATGCACAAACAAAATCTTAAGATATAGAAGCTTACTCTAAAAAATATTTTTGTTAATATTCTTTAAATGCCCCCATCTAATCTTAGAACAACGATTTACTTTATTTTTTTTTATTTTTTGTCCCTCCATCTTAAAGTCCAAAACTAATAAGCGATGTTGGGTGTATAAACTTTCACTCGGAATAACTTTACAATCTTTACAATCTAAACGATCTTTTTTTTTCTTATAAGAAAATAATCAATCTGAGTTTTAGTATATCCATTCTTATAAGTGATGAGATGCACATCTCTTTTCTTAAATAAGGTATTAGCAATTACAAAATCATAAGCTAAAAAAAATCTGATATGGCCTTATAACCTTCATTAGTCGGTCCAAAGTCATAGACTCATAGTCACCATGAATGCTTTTAAAATCATCTACCTCTCCACCAACATATCCATTTAAAACTCCTCCAATAAAAACTCTTTCTCCGAGATGTATCTTTTATATTAATTTTTCTAGGTCATTCCAAAATTTTAATCTTGAACATACATCTAAACATACTTGAGCATAAGAGCTTATAATATTAATAATTTTAACATCAACAACAATCTTTAAAGCTAAAATTTCATCTCCAATTCTATTAATTTTTACAATATTATCTATCAAACTCTTATTAATAATTACAAATACACTATTTCTAGTATGACTCCTACCAAAATATCATAGTTTAAATCCTAAACTATCAATCTCCTAGCCTTCTCTCCAACTTATTTAGTTTCCTGAATACATAGAATATTTATCTTCCTATGGATCATAATATCTATTAATTTCATTAATTTGCCTATAACGAAACCTATATTCCAATTTCCAAGTTCCTATCGTAATTATAGTTTCATGAACTAGCTACTTTGCCCACATCCATCCATGATGTGGGAACCTTTGTCTATTTAATACTGCACCCGGGCATCGGTGTTGAGGCCCTTGCTCACTTGTCGTTGTATTAAGGTCATACAACGAGTTGCTTCCAGGGACCGTCATAGCATTAACACAATGTATTAAAGGATTCATGTCATTTTTATTCGACAAATTTTACGCTGGCTTTGGACTACCTAACGCAACCCTCCATTTTTCTCATCCAGGACTTGGGACCTGACAATGACAGTGTTAGTAACAACTTACTAAAGTGTAGTGACAAATAATTTTTTACTAGACTTATTAGAGTGTAGTGACAACTTTTCAAAAGTTTACTCTTCCATGAACTACTCTATAACTACTTTTATAAATAATTACAGCTGCCCAGAAATACTTAAACTCATCTTCACATCAATCAATTCATTGTGCAAGATACCAACCCTAAAAAATATCAATTACTAAATTCCCTTAGTTCATTTTATAATTTATTTTCTTTGTAAACTTGTCCTCAAAGCATCTTTATCAGCCGCTCTTCTATAGCCACACTATGATAAATTAAATAATTTAGGTAATAGCTACCATTCACACTCAAGATCTACCAACTTTTTTTTAATTATGTCAATTAAATGTTCACAGCAAGTTTAGAAATAGAGTCGCTGGAACAAACCAAGTTTTGTAATTTTTTTTTTAAATTTTTTTAAAGTTTTGTTATTGTTAGCAATATGATATAGCTATGTTAATAGAAATCAATAAGTAGGAAAAAAATTAACTAATTAAAAAAACTGAAAGAGGAATATAAAATGCAAAAAAAATTAAATGATAAACAATATAAAAAATCTCGAAGTGACCCAGCACAAGGTAACATAACAAAGTGAGTAAGCTCATATAAAGCGATTATGCTCACTAATCTTTGCCTATGCTGGAGGTTCTACCACGTAAACATTTCAATTTGCAAAAAAAAACCTTTAACAAGCTTGTTAGCAAGTAGTGAGTCCCTGCTTTAAGGTCAGAAAGTCAAGCCATCCCCGAAAGCTAGATTACCAATTCGGTGTGAAAAGCATAGGTCTAGCTTGACACCTGCTTTTCAACCCAAGAAAATAACCCACCAAAATCAATAAGTCTTTCTAATTATTGGAAGGATCTTGGTCTTTTCCTAATTATTGGAAGGACAAATTAAAAAAATTGCAAAGATTCAGCTTAAACAACTTATAAACAATGAATAAAAAGAAATAAGGGTAATTATATTTGTACAGGTCTTTTCCTTTAGCAAATCCAACCTTTACTCTTAGAATGCTGTTTTATAATCTCTTGGGACGCATAATGCTCAAAGAATATTTCTCTTTGAAGGACTCATCAACTTTAAGATAAAGGAAAAACAAGAAAGATGAGCTTTAAGATCACGGGAGAGATTTCACAAATGAGGCTACTTTGAACTTATAGAAGGATCAAAATACTAGAATTATCATATTATTTTGAAAGGCTACTTTACCCAAGGATTGAGGTAATTTATATACCTGAAGATTGAGAGAAACATTTAAGAATATAGTGATTTTGAAAGCTAGTTCACTAGATTAGTAAGATTTAGGGTCATGTTAAACCAAGCTGGCCATAAAGAGGGTAGACCACAACAACAACAATATTAAGTCTTTGTCCCACTATGTTGAGTCGGCTATATGAATCCTTTTTCTCCATTGTAAAATCTTAAAAGTCAAATTCTCGTTTAAATCTAATAAGGAGGGTAGACCAATAATACAAAAATAGAATGACTCATAATGTTCGTAAAATCTAAATTAGGCTAGTTTAAACTTGATTCTAATTGATGGAGAAATTGAAATAGTCCAAATTGCATATCAAAAGCTTATAAATCAATTTTCTGCACAATAAAAGAGCATTACATTTGCAGCTGTCTCAAAAGATAAATGAAGGTGATTCATGCGATTACTTGTGTTCAAACACAAGGTGGTTTGACCAAGTATTTCCCTATTTCGGTCGGGTTACATCAAGGATCAGCCTTAAGCCCATATCTTTTTGCTTTAGTCATGGATGTTCTCACTAGACATTTGCAAGAGGATGTACCTTGGTGTATGCTTTTTGCTGATGATATTCTTCCTGTTGATAAGACTAGAGAGGGAGTTGAGAGTAAACTTGAATTATGGAGGTCAACATTAGACACTAAAGGTTTTCGCTTGAATAGATATAAAACGGAATATATGGAGTGTAATTTTAGTAGTAATAGACCTAGTGAGGGGATTGTGACTTTGGGCGATCAAGTTATTAATAAGAGTACACGTTTTAGATATCTTGGATCTATTACTCAGAGTGATGGTGAAATAGATGGGGATATTATCAACAGAATTCAAGTTGGATGGTTAAAGTAGAGGAATGCATCGGGCTTGTT